AAAACCCTGATTTTATCTTTTGATCGACACTTACTTCAATCTTTGTATTTTTAATGCCAACCTTTTGTTTTGAAAGTTTTTTGTGTATGGGGTGTGTGTCTGTGTGTGTGTACAAGGATGTGCTCACACACACTATAGTGTTGGGGGATATTTGATCATACTGTGAACTCCACGTTAACATTTGTGTTAATTAAATAAAATTAACCTTGTGTTAGTAACTAGTTGACAGAAAGTAATCAAAGAGCATCAGAGGGCATCTGGAAGAGAGGTGCACCAGAAATAGTAGGAAAGGATTTTGAGTGGTGGACATGTTTTTTGGGAGATGCCATCAAGGAGAGAAAGTTAGCTAGCTGTTATTCAACCTCTCTGAGCTAACAGATTCTCACCCCAGCCTTTGAATCTTGAATCTTATTTATAAATAGATAGATATTATAAATAGATAGATAAATAGAATGATAGAGATTTAGTTAAAGCTACTTTGAGTAGCAGCAACAGGGCCAGTGACTGTGGGAACAGAATTCCCGCCAGGCTGTAGCCTGAACAGCTGGGCTGCTGCTAGGGAAGTGGGCAGGTAACTGTGGAGTCAAAATTGCGGCTGAAATAGCAGTAGATTAAGGCACAGCCACTGGGTGAAGATAAAACAACATTATAGTGCCTGTGTGGAGATCAGAGGACAATCTTGGCTGTTGATCCTCACCTTCCATTTTGTTCACTGTTTTGTAAGCCAGGCTAACTGGCCTGCAACCTTCTATGGCTCCCCTTGCCTCTGCTTCCCAGCTTGAAGTAGAAGCACTGTAGAAACTACAGACAGGTGCTACTGTACCCACCTTTACCTGGGTTCTTGAAATTCAAACTCAGGCTACCACACCTGCGTGGAGAGCATTTTATCCACCAAATCATCTCCCCCGTGCTCAGTGTAAATATCCTTAAACGACGTGTACTCACATGTTAGCCAGAGGGTAATCCTGGCAAACGCCTGCCCCTCCGTGCACCTGGATGGCCCGGTCAGCTATTTTGCAGACGGCTTTTGGGGCAGCCACTTTGATCATTGCAATCTACATAAGCGAGATAGGAAAAGAATGTGCTTCTCTCAGACCGTGCAAAGTGTGCCAGGATTTGATAGAACTGGTAATTCTCTGTGAAGTAAAACCAGGAAACGTTCCCACACCCAAGTCATCACTGAACAGGATCTGTGGTGGAGGCCAACAGAAGGCTGCAGCAATACCGTGAGCAGCTGTATTTCAGTCAGCAGCCACCTTCTGGAAAGAGATCTTGCTTCCAGATCACATTTGTTTCTAAGTTGCCTTGTTTCCAAAAGGATTTCAGGCAGCTTGTAAATCATACTCAGAATGTTTCTGCTCACACCAAGTCCATGGTCTTTGCTCCGTTAATCAGGTTTTTCTTCTTAGAAATTTTATGGGCTTTTAGAATAAAATGAGTATGTCTTACTCCAGAGAAGCTGGATATGTGTGAAGGCAGGGGGCAATAGATGTCTTTATGGAACATTTACAATGTGGGAGAATTGTCCCATACAGTCCACACCCATCATCTAGCTCGACGCCAAAGGCAGATAGATACTAGACACTTCGGACACGAGGCTAGAGTGAATGGTGGGCACCATCAATTCCAGGTATGTAGAAATCCTAGGACTCCCTCACCCCTTGTTGTCTCGTTTTAACAGTTCTTGAGGCATTCTGCATCCTGAAAGTCTTCTCTTGGGCAGCCCGGTGAGAGGAAAGCCAAAGCACGTGGGCACTTCCTATAATCTGGGTGGTTGCAGGGGGCACAGACCCTGCAACAGCCAGTGGGTGGGGAGGCAGAGGAGACTGCCGCTGGTGGGGCAGGGGTGGAGAGGGCGGGTAACTCACCTCCTTCCTGGCTGCAGCACTGCCCACAGTATCTATGCTGTGCGCTGCTTTCAAGGTCAGCAGGCGGATCTCCTCGATGGCTATGCGGCTTTTAGCAATCCAGTGAGCCACGACCTCCTGGAGGGGAGCGAGGGAAGGAAGGATCAGTGGAGTCTTGTATTTGATAAACCTTTTCCAGGCCAATGGTAGTCCACAAACCTTCCTGTATATAGTTCTGAATCAAAGACTTGATTCTCTTGATATATACCAGCCTAGCTACAAACCTGTGGGAATACCATAGTTTAAATGAGGAGATTGTAGAAGTGTTACTTGCTCAGAAAAATAATTTATTTTGGGCGTTTTAAAATTTGTGTGTGTGTGTGTGTGTGTGTGTGTGTGTGTGTGTATCTTGTGCCATGATCTCCAAACTCAGGCTGTCAGACATGGTGTCAGGTGCCTATTTTGGATATCTTAATATCTGACGTTAAGACGACTGAACTGAGTGACTGTCTTATTGCCATACTACTCTTTGTGGCCCTTGTGAATACTAATTACAGGCCCTCGTTGACATCTTGAATATGTACAATGGAGAAGTTGGTTCTATCAGACTAGATCATTCTCAGCACAATTTCAAGATGACCCAGCAGGCCTTTATTGTGACGTTATGTATTAAAAATGACCTTTCCCATGCTTGGAGAAGTGCCTTGTGCCTATAACCCCAGCACTTGGGAAGTAGAGGCAGAAGAATCAGGAATTCAAGGCCAGCCTGGGCTACATGAGACCCTGTCTCAACAAAACCAGGGCTGCAAAGAGGGCTTGGTGGTTAAGAGCACGGGCTGGTGCTTTGCCAGAGGACCTAGGTTCAGTTCCCCACATCCATATAGCAGCTTACAGCCATCTATAACTCCAGTTCCAGGGGATCTGATGCCCTCTTCCGGTACACATGCAGGCAAAACATCCATACACATAACGAACAAACAGAACCCTCCCCCAAACAAGCAGGAAGAGCTTGTGGGAACAGCTCTGAGAGTTTAACACACATGTGCTACCTACAACAGTTCCATCCCCCCAACATCCCCAGTGCTGCGGCCTGCTGGTCTCACAAGCCCACATTCCTAAACCCACCCACTGTGACAGGCCGTCCCTATGGCTTTGTCCTTCCCAGGGTGTGGAATGCTGTGTAATGAGATCATCTAGCACGGACTTGATGGAGAATGGCTGCTTTCACCCAGTGTGATGCTTTGAATTTCACCCAATCCTTCTGTTTATTAACTGGCAGTGATGCTTGTTGCTGAGGATGACTCCATTCTAGGGATGAGCACAGTCTGTTGACCCCATTCACCTGCCAGGGGACATCAGGGCCATACCTGCTTCTGATTGATGGAGCTTCTGTAAACATTTCTAATTGATTTATTTTTATTTTATGTGCATTGGTGTTTTGCCATGGGTGTCAGGTCCCCTGGAACTGAAATTACAGAACGTTGTGACCTGACATGTGGTTGCTGGGAATTGAACCCTGGTCCTCTGGAAGAAAAGTCAGTCCTCTTAACCACTGAGCCATCTCTCCAGCCCCTGAAAACATTTCTATACAGGCTTTGGGATAAGTACATGTTCTTCATTTTTTTTTTTCAAAGCAAACACCAGAAGTGGAATTGTTTGCCACTGGCTAACATTTACAAGAAGTAGTTGGCTTAAGTGGTTGTACTAGGTAGTGTTTATAGCGCGGCTGGATATGACAATTCTGGATGTTTCCCAAGCACTGGGCAGCACTGTTAGCAATCTTTTAGTCAGAGACATTTCACTGTGGTCCCAGCCTGCATTCTCCTAATGCTTGGCACTTCCGATCTTCCTTTGATGTATTTATTTGCTGTTGGTAAGTCTATTCTTGTCTTGAAGAAATGTTCTTGAAATATGACCCAGCAAAAAAGGCGAAAACAAAAAGGAAAAAGCTGTGTCGTGCAAACATAATCAGATGGCAGGTAACGCGAACTTCAGAGAAAAACTAAGTGGGAAAGCAAAGTGACTAGAGTTGCTGGAACATTCAAAGAGGAGAGGAAAGTGAGAGGAGTCAGTCTAACTTATTTCGAGATGACTTGTATAAAGATGTGCAGTGCTGGTAGAGAAAGACTCACAGAGAGTTCAGACCTAACAAAAACCTGAACTCTAACACCACCAACATGCCCGACCGACTTCTGCGGAGGCACGAGAGCACTTAGATGGAGGAGAGGCACTTCCCCAACACGTGTGGGAGCAAATGAACAGAGGAACAGGACTCTGAAGGCCCGGGCCTTACATCATGACTGAACTGCTCTGGGCTCCAGTACAAAGGGCCAGACCTTGGGAAAACGGTCAGCTAAAACCTCCAGTGCAGAGGGGGCAAAGCAAAGGCCCTCAGACTGACGCCCAGACATGGGCCACGAACACAACAGGACACGTGAGAGTCAGAAAACTCCCGCTCCGTGGAAGACCCTGTTAGAGGATGGAAAAAAACACCAAGGGGGGAAATATTTGAAAACCACAGGGCAATTAAGTACAATACCCAGATTGTAAAACCAACTCATGAGAAAACACCAAACTATCCAGGTAGGCAATGGGCATGAGACAAGCCTAAAGGAAGAATATGGCAAACGATGACAAGATGTCTCTGTAGGGGTGACATAAATGAACGAAGTTTGACATTTCATTACAAACCAATCAGAATGCCTAATAAAGAAAACTGTGACACCATCACATGCTGGTGGGGATGCACAGAAACCGGACCACTTACATACAGCTTGTGAGCTGAACATACAATGACCACATCGCCCAGGAACTGTTCTCTCGGCATGGGCCTCAGATAGATGGAGAGCTACTATTCACCCAATACCAGCTTCATAGCAACCAAAAACAAAACCACAAAACCACAGGTATCCCTCACAGATGCATAGCTCACCTGCAGTAGCCTATACAAAGTGATGCTGCTCAGTAGTACAACTGGCTACTGAATCACAGTTTTGTGATTCTCCCAAGAACAATGATGGAGGAAAAGAGCTAATCCCCAAAGGCTTACATGTTATATAATTCCATGTCTGGAATGAAAAAATTGCTTAAAATGAAGCAGATTATGGTTGCTAGGAGTCAATGAAGAAACGGTGGTGAGAGTGAAGTGATTTTGCCTCATACAAGGACAGCCTAAATGAGTCTATGGTGATGGAAACTTTGCAGCCTAATGGTATCCATGACAACATCAACATCATCCTGATATGGTACTATAGCATTGCAAGCTGTTAAAACTGAAAAGAACTGGGTAGAAGAAGGGATCTTTTGGTATTATATCTTAAATCTGAATGTGTGGCTCTAATCATCTCAAAATAAAACAGTGAAAATGAGTACTTGCTTCTCACTTATCTCAGTGAAAATTCTGAGTTTTCTTCATTTGTTAGAACTTAGAACTGATGAGGTAAGTATATGAATATGGGTTCATAAGTACCATATGGATGTACCATATGGATATACAACATGGATGTACAAAATTCTACATGAATACACTATATGATGTACCACATGGATATACCATGTGGATGCACCAGAAATCCCAGAAGCAATCAGACATTCATAATTCAGCATGGAAGCCCAGAGGATACATACAGTAAATGATCCCAGATGATCAAAATAGAATTTTTTGGGTTCCCAATTTTAAACACAGAACTATTGTTTATGATGTTTGCTAAGCCTGATCAGCATATTACGGAGCTTTAATTCAAGCCATGTGAATCTTCCACAGTCATCTTAAGGTCAGTCATCTTTTTCAGCCACATGTGGCTTCTAAGATTTGAAGTATGTCTAATCTGAATATAAACGTAATATGAAGTATAAAATGTGCATTCAATTTTAAAATGCAAACTACCTTATTAATCCCATTTTTATATGTCTTTCATATATCACATATATTGGATAAAGTAAAAAAAAAAACAAAAAACTTTTTCTTTTCTGAGACAGGGTTTCTCTCTAACAGCCCTGGCATCCTGAAACTTGTTCTGTAGACCAGGCTGTCCTCAAACTCACAGAGATCCACCTGGCTCTGTCTCCTGAGTGCTGAGATTAAAGGCGTGAGCCACCAAACTGGACTGAAAAGATTTTTTGAATGAACTTTGACTACTCCTTCTTACTTTTCAAACATACAGCCACAGAGTCAGCATGGTGGTGGCCTGTGGTCCCTGGACTCTGGTCAGGACTGGCCTAACAGGCAAAAACAGGCTCAGAATGAATTTCAAGCAAGCTGCCCGAGTTGATGAACTTTGTGATGGATGAAGAACAGGGAAATCACAACTTCAGGAACAGACTCGATGTTAGTTAGAACCAAGTCAAGTTCCCAGCTGGGTCGCCTCAGACCCCAGATTTGCTGAAAAGCACTGAAGGGTGGAAATGGAAAGCTCCAGGAAACAGCCAAATGTATTGACTAAGATGAAATTCTACTTTACAGCTGGAATAATTTAGAGGCGGCTGGAAGGAGTCTCCACATTCAGGGAAACAAAACGTCATTTTTACAAATTGAAAACAAGAACTGGAGCAGATTCTTGTTTGTGACAAGCCTACACGTTCTCTTTCTGCCTCTGCCAGCACAATTAATTCAGGCCAGATGGAAGGTTCCAGTAGAAGGAGACACATGTTTTTAAAGTTCTTCCTGGCATAGCAGGATATATTAAAAGACAGGCGAGAAATCCTCCCTGGTGCCACTTTAAAACACCACTCAGGTCAGGTGTGGTGGTGCATGTCTTTAATCCCAGCACCTGGGGGGTGGGGGTGGGGTGGGGAGAGGGTGGGGGGGTGGGCAGAGGCAGAGGCAAACGTATCACTGAGTTGAAGGCCAGCCTGGTCTACAAAGTGAATTCCAGGACAGCCAGGGCTATTCTGCCTCAAAACACACACACACACACACACACACACACACACACACA